GTCTATAGGAACCTTATCAAACAAAACCTCAAAGGAACCACACTCTACAAGTGCTTTGTGCACTTGGGATTTCACTTCCTCCTACTTAGGGTTTTTGCTTTCCAAGTCAAGGCCGTTAAAGTCAATGATTGGAAGCTTAAGAATGGTTTCTGAGCCCATCTCTTTTCTTTGGCCTCTCTACTTTGATGATTTGTCTGTGTTGTGAGGAGTAATGAGTCTTAATTGATCTTGACACTTAAAACAATGAAGGCTTTTTGTATAAGGAATAAGAGAAGACACATATAGTAGTTCTGAGAATCAGATGTTTAATATTGTGTTGTGTACAACTGTATACTAAGATGCTTGGCTTAAAGCGCATAATTGCGGCCGGAGCCAGAGATCCTATATCAGGGGTGAAATTTATTTTTTCAGAGAATAATAAATTTTAAAATTGAAAATTAACGATTTAAAAATTTACTGGTATATTTTACAATCATGCATCTTTATGTGATTTTATATATGTTGGGAAAAACCTAGGTCAAGTTACTAATATCTATTATGTCGAGTTCTCCAATCACACATACTATGTTTTTATTTTTTGTTTCATGTGGGTTTACTAATAAATGCTAATATTGCAAAAATAAAATACATGGTCATATGTGATAACTTGTCATAATGAATATAACAAACTTAATGTAAATATTGTTCTTTTATGTTTTGAAATGGTGGTCGTAATGTTATGCTCTAATTATATCTAAAAGTCTGGGTCCGAACTTATATTTAGAGATAAAATGAAAATAAAATGAGAATTTATAAATAAGAATGGAGTAAATGGCATAATCTATAGAAATTGCCGATCAAAAGATTCTTCGGGCTTCAAGCCAGTGCCGGCTAAATTGGTAAAGCCTTCACGACCAGAAATGGACAAACCTTGGCCGTCGATTTTTGGCTTTTTTGCGGCTTATTCGGCTATTGATATTTAGCAAGTGTTGAAAAAAAATATTGCATAAAAAAATAACTGTTGAGAGCTAATGACCATAAATAAATAAATTTTTACCCTTTTATTTCTTGAACAATTATTGACCATAAAAAATGCTCATGCCTGATTAATAATTAACCTTTGCCGGCCAATTAAAGTGACTATCATATAGCCTAATTATTTTTGACATTGATGGATTAATATTTTTAATAACCATGATTGTAAAAAATGAATAATAATTTTTCATTCCAACATGTTAAATATTATCATCTTTTTAGGTAAATATATATCTTTTTCTTTTGAGTTAATTAACCTGCAAGTCCTTATAGTTTCAACTAATTTTGAATTAGGTCCCTATAGTTTTTTTTTCTTTTTATCAAATACTTATACTTTCACCTATTTTTAATTAGGTTTTTGCATTTATTTTTTTTATCAAGTCCTTATAATTTCACTAAAATTTTAATCAGGTCCATGTAGTTTTAATTTTTATTTATTAATTAAATATAAACTTAATTAAATATATTAATATTGAAATATAAAATATTGATAACAAAATTAAATTAGCAATTATATAATAAAAAAAGTAATATAATTAATTAATTCAGGAAATTTTTTTAGAACAATTAATATTTTCTTGCTGGCAAAAAATAAAATTATTATAATAATTCATTATTTTTAGAATATTATTGTTTATAAACTAATATTAAATAATATATACTATTTTATGTTAATAGAATAGTATTATTATAATTTATAAAATAAAGAATAAAAAATTCAGGGATTTAATTAAAATAAGGTAAACTTATAAAGACTTGATAAAAAAAAATAAATACAAGGACCTAATTAAAAACAGGTAAAAGTACAAGGATTTGATAAAAAGAAAAAAAAATTATAAGGATTTAATTTAAAATTGGTTAAAACTATAAGGACTTATTATGCCTTTTCTTTTATATAAATTGGAATCCTTAACTTCTACTAACATCCCACTTTACGATTCGAACTTTAGGTGCTCCAAAACCGTGGTTTCAGAAGTACTTTTTCGCAAAACGAGATAACCTCCTCCACATATTTACTTCGTAATCCGTAAAAGCACTTCTGAAACCATTGTTTGGTTTCTATCCAAACACTCTCTTAACAAATTAAAACAAATGCAGTGGCAGATGCCATCACCTTCAAGACCTGCTTCGCTTTCCATTCGTGCGCAATCCATAATATTGCTTGCCTTTTTGAGCCATAGAGTTTGTTTTTTAAAAACAAAAACAAAAATACTTCCTCCAGTGCTTATTATAAGCACCTAATAACATCTTTACATAAATTAATGAAGTTAGTTAGAATTAGTTATTTCTTGTAAAATACTACCTCCAGTCTTTAATATAAAAGTTTGTTTAACTTCTACTTTGATCCTAAATTATAAGAACCCAATCCACTTTGTCTCTCATATTTATCGTCTTTTTTTTTCAAGATAGTCCTTGTAATAATAATAATTTCAGCCACTACACTTGACTAGCAAAGATATTTAATGAAAGAAAATGCCTAGTTATTACTAATAACTAACTTAACAAGCTTCTTTAATCTACTCAAATTTGTTAATTAGTTCTTTTATTAAAGACTAGAGGTAGTATCAAAATCATCATCAATAAAAGTCATTAGTTAGAGAGATTTGGTTGCATTGGTCGGAAAGTTTTCTAATTAGCTAGAGATATTGGATGGAAAAAAATTAACGCTTTACATAAAACATTTTATTATCATGAAACATGTTGGAGGTTATTATTATAAGAATCGGAAGGGGTAATAAAAATGTAAATTCTTTTGACAATAAATAAGAATGTCAAAAGAAGTACTACTTAGCTCCGATTCTTAATATAAGACCCAGTTGACTAACTTGAGAGATTAAGAAAGCTAAATAAATTACTTTAAAGTATTTATCTTTATAATTTTTTTCAAATTAATTTTCTTGACTTTGAAACTGATATATAATCTAATGATATATACACATAAGTATTTTAGAGATATCATACAACATAAAATATGATTAAGTAATTTATTTAACTTAATCTCTCTAAATTAGTTAAGTGGATCTGAAGGACTACAAATGAATGCATAATCAAAACTTTGAAAATAATGGTCGATCAAAAGATTCTTCGGACTTGAACCACAATAATGTAGTAACTTGTTAGGAGTGCTTCTAAATGGACAAGACAAAAACTAACATATAAATTGAGCCGGATTTATTGCTTACTTCTCATTTATTCATTTACAAGTTGATGTTTTTTTTTAATTCAAATACAAGTTAATGTTGATAGCTACAAATTTATGATGGAGCAGTACAATAATGTGTTCCTTAAAAATATACCACAGATCGATGTTATTGCATTAATTAATGGTACCCTATATAAATTATATTCTCTTGAAAGTGATATATTTAAATAAACGAAAACAACTGAATCAAGACATGCATGGATGATAATAAGGAAAAAATTACCCATTGGTCCTAAATAAAATTACAGAGATGTCTCAAATAGATTAATATATTCCATCAATTTAATTAATTCCATTACGTTAAGTATTGTTATTTTTTGGTAAATATCTTTTTGTAAATTAAATATGTGCAACTGAAATTAAAGCATGGTGAATATTTCAAGGAAACTGTGTGTTACTGTTATGTACAAGTAATGTATTAATTACAAAAAAAAATTATTCAAACAGCATTCGTCTTAAAATTTCTTAGTTGATTTTCATTTCAAACATCAATTATATATGCAACTTCCGTTCAGAATGTTATATTATAGACAGTGTAATACTTTTATTAAAAATTGAATGTTTTTCCACATAAAACAAATCTGAAGAAAACCATAACTGAAAATTCGACCGAATCTAGCATTATTACTTTAACCTTTGGTGCATCCGGGAGTTTAGCATGGAATTATCTGGAATGAGTGTTATTAATGTGTTAAAGAATCTAAATACATATATTCCTAAAGTTCATATGCTCAAGCATCAAAAATTAAAGGGAAAATTTCACTGTAGGACCGCAGAAGACAATTAATTTCAAAGAGCTCCCAAAACTTTCTAAAACTTCACTGCAGGACCAAGGGGGCAAACTGATATTAATTCCACAAAGAAAATGATGTTATTGCCCCTCATAATACTTATTGCAGGGTGACATGTAAATGAACTAATTTCAGTTGTAAATAAAGGTATGTATGTTGCAAATTGACTAGTCCCACTTGCAAATGGGTTCTCTCACACTTATTCACTCACAGGCACCTTTTTCAGGTGAATGAGGTGATATGTAAATGGACTAATTCTAATTGTAAATAAATGTATGTATGTTGCAAATTGACTAATTCCACTTGCAAATGGGCGCTCCCACACTTGTTTACTCACGGAGACCTTTTTCAAGGTGAACGAAGTGACATGTAAATGGACTAATTCCAGTTGTAAATAAATATATGTATGTTGCAAATTGTCTAGTCTCACTTGCAAATGGGCTGTCCCACACTTGTTCACTCAGACACATTCTTCAGGTGAAGAAGGTAATATGTAAATGGACTAATTTTAATTGTAAATATATTCATGCATGTTGTAAATTATCTAACCTCACTTGCAAATGGGTTCTCCCATACTTGTTCACATGCAGGGCAATAGGGTCATTTTCTTTGTGGAATTAATATCAGTTTGCCCTCTTGGTCCTGCAGTGAAATTTCAGAAAGTTTTGGGGGCTCTTTGAAATTAATTGTCTTCTGCGGTCCTACAGTGAAATTTGCCCAAAATTAATAGTATTGTTTATCCTCTCAAATTAAATTAAATTAATATAATTAATAAAAATATTAAAAGCAGAAGATCTTTTACTTTGACATATACATAGAGAGAGGTGTACTACATTATTAGCTGAATTGAAGACACAGGATCATACATAAATAGCTTTTACACAGAATCACAACTCATCGCACTCTCTTTTGACATTATCTTTTTTTTTATTACAATATCAGTCTAGCTACACTCAAAGCATAAATATATTGCAATTTAATTATTAATAAAATTAAACACCACAATAAGCCTTGAGAGGAATTCTGTGTTTCTGGGCTTCTTCCGAGTGATAAAAGTTGAGATACTCAAGGAAATCAAAGGGCTTATACAGAAGAGGATGTTCCTCATCCACAAGCTCCTCTGGTGCTTTTATTATATAACCTTCTTTGGGCCTCGCAAACAGTGCTGCTGAGTATCTATCTTCACTACCTCTCATCATTACTTTGTGAAATGCATTATACAGCTTCCCATTTGTCCAAGCCTGCATTAATTAATTTATTCCTCATGCTTCACTTATATCTAAATCAATTAGAACCAACATTTATGTCTATAGTTTATGTCACGTAATAACCATCATAAAATCAACACCATATTTGTTAAGAGAAAAACAATATTAAGCCACAAACACACAGTCCAGATGTTAGAGGTCAAATGAAACCATATATAGTACTTCTACTTCGGTCTTCAAGCTAATCTGGATTGATCCTAAATGTATATGACCTTAATCCATTTTATCTCTTATATTGATCATTTTGCCCAACCTAATTTACCTAGTTGATAAAGTGATATATTCCCTCCGATTCTATATATAAGTTTCAAATAACCAAATCATGTTTGACGAACTAGTAGTTAAAATTAGTTAAAAATAATAAATAGGCCAGAAATGTTTTTTTTTTTCAAATTTGCCCTTATTTACTAAGAGAGTGAATAAGAGGTAATAAGTGAAAGAATGATGAAAGAGAATACTAAATAAAGTCAACTAAAGGCAAAATAGAGGGGAGAAAAAAGTCATAAATACTCAGACAAACTTAAAAATAAAACTTATATTTTAGACCAGACTCATCTCCAAAAGTGAAGCTTATATATAGGATCAGAGAGAGTATACAATCTAATGTTACCAAGAAGTATTTTAGGTGATAATGTCATATTTGTTAGAATTAAGTAATTTGTTTTTCCTTTTTAATTAATGTACCCAAAGGAGCGGAGAAATATAAATAAATAGCACCAACTTACCTGGAGACAGTCGCCGACAAAAAAGACAAAACTATGAGGTGTAGGCTGGTATGTGATCCATTTTCCATCTTTGGTTTCAATCTCTAAACCCTCCACTTCATTAATTTGATACAGTATGGTCGTTATGCCAGCATCTGTGTGTTTGATTACACCCAACGTTGAGTCTTCAGTTTGAGGAGCCGAGTATTTCATAATCCTCAGCATATGAGTGCTTGAGTTCATGAACTCATCCAAGTACTTCTCTACTCCTAAACTTTCCAGAACCATCTTCCTCACCATCTGCTCCAACTCCGATACCTGCTCTGAGAAGTCTTTCATAACTTTGCTGCAAAAATATATAATAACAAACAAGTTGATCGATAAATATTTAAGAAGTATGCTTCAAAAAGTCATGTTTTTGTTTAGAAAGAATCAAAAATAAAAACTTAGGTGAGACCTGAAACTTGGGTATCCTTCAGGCCACAAGTTATTTTCCAAGCTCTCTACTTTCCCAAGGACAAGTGCTTCATCGACGCCAATGCTCTCGTAGAGTGGGCTTTTAGGACCTTTTCCAATATAACCATAAAAAGGGTTCTTATGTGTATTTCTCTGTTTGGTTTCGAGGGGTAGATCAAATGTCTCTTTAAGCAAAGCAAATAAGGATTTGCGAAGATCTAGAGGAACCTTATCAAACAATGCCTCAAAGCAACCGTGCTCCTCAAGTGCTTTGAGGACTTGGGATTTCACTTTCTCCCACTTAGGGTTTTTGCCTTCCAAGTCAAGGCTGTTAAAGTCAATGACTGGAAGCTTAAGAGTGGTTTCTGAACCCATTTTATTTCTTTGGCCTCTACAAGTGAAGGGATGTTCCAGTTTAAGCTTGGAGTGCGCCACTTAAATAGTATGCCTTACATAGTACGGTGCATACTAATATATGTGGCTTAGTTAAAATTATCTCAACTTTTGAATAGCTTTTTTTTTGTTGAAATTTTATTGGTCTACTTATTAACTCCAGTCGTATGTGACCAAAGTGTTTATGTCATCGTGAGGGTGTGTGTGTGTGTAACGTCCTTTTATGTTGAAAGGGACAAAATGAAAATTACGTTGAAATTTGAATTCATAGATGTGGTCCAAAGGGTCATTTTTTTTAATAATAAGTAGCTGTCCATGTACTATTCTGATGATAATAGCATAAGTATGAGTTTCCATCAAGACTTTTGTAATTAAGGTGTAATAACATTTGGGGACCATTGGAGAAAATTAAAAGCATGGAGAGACATAAAATATTGGAAAATAAAAAATTGCTGAATGAAATGCCCTTTCCTCTTTTTTTTTTTTTACACTATACACACATACACACAACCCTCTCCCATTACTGGCTGATGCTGCCATAAGCTACTATATATATACACGTACTAGAAGACTACTTGTAAATACTAGCCGCCTGTGAACACTAAATGATCATTTGTGAATAATCTTTAGTACAATGTTTTTTGGTTTCTTTATGAATTGCAAATCCTTAAACAATGATGGAGGGGCATTTCTGTCTAACCAATATTTCGAGTCCCTTTGTTTGGTTAACTTCCATTTTCCATGAATAAATATGTCATCTCCCTTGAACAAATATAAAACACATGTATATGGAGTGTGGATGAAATCTTTCAGCGCAAGACTGGATCAACTTAGCTGAGAATATGAAATGTTTTATTTCAAAAAAACAAAAAAAAGAATATGACATGTTAAGATTGATTGGTGGAGGACCATTTAGTTTTTTTTTATAAAAAAAACCTAAGCTATAGATAAACTAACTCTATTCAATTCGTATATATATTGTAACTCTAAATCTTCTTGTGGGGGTTATGATAGAAATCATTCACAAGTTGTCGATTGTGGACCACTAGAAAATTATAAGTTATCGTACAATTATTTACACGGTACTGTGGTACCACAAATATAAAATTCGATTTGAAAATGGCAAAAGATTAACACATTTTATATTGGGCAAATTTCACTGTAGGACCGCAGAAGACAATTAATTTCAAAGAGCCCCCAAAACTTTCTGAAATTTCACTGCAGGACCAAGGGGGCAAACTGATATTAATTCCACAAAGAAAATGACCCTATTGCCCTGCATGTGAACAAGTATGGGAGAACCCATTTGCAAGTGAGGTTAGATAATTTACAACATGCATGAATATATTTACAATTAAAATTAGTCCATTTACATATTACCTTCTTCACCTGAAGAATGTGTCTGAGTGAACAAGTGTGGGACAGCCCATTTGCAAGTGAGACTAGACAATTTGCAACATACATATATTTATTTACAACTGGAATTAGTCCATTTACATGTCACTTCGTTCACTTGAAAAAGGTCTCCGTGAGTAAACAAGTGTGGGAGCGCCCATTTGCAAGTGGAATTAGTCAATTTGCAACATACATACATTTATTTACAATTAGAATTAGTCCATTTACATATCACCTCATTCACCTGAAAAAGGTGCCTGTGAGTGAATAAGTGTGAGAGAACCCATTTGCAAGTGGGACTAGTCAATTTGCAACATACATACCTTTATTTACAACTGAAATTAGTTCATTTACATGTCACCCTGCAATAAGTATTATGAGGGGCAATAACGTCATTTTCTTTGTGGAATTAATATCAGTTTGCCCCCTTGGTCCTGCAGTGAAGTTTTAGAAAGTTTTGGGAGCTCTTTGAAATTAATTGTCTTCTGCGGTCCTACAGTGAAATTTTCCCTTTTATATTTGCATAACGACATGGGAGAACCGTATTTGCTTTTACAAGTTGATAATAGGACCACCTCAAATTTATGATTCTGTAGTACTATCCATACAATTATATTCCCGTGACAGTGATATAGAGATATTGCAAACAAAATCGATTGGGCATTGACGTTGATGAAAATAATGTTTCAACAATCAACAAATGAAGCATAATATTAAAATTGTTAATTTCTCTTCTTTTCAATACTTAGCTATCAATCAAATTAAGACATTATTTAGTTTTCCAATGCATAAATTAGAGATATAACAAGATTTATAGCAAAAATAATGGATCCGAACCTTTGTTTTCTTGATTTATATGATTAGTGGTATAAATAATTCCTTTTTTTCTAATTAAAAGACCAACTCATGAAGCAACGAGTGAACAGAGATGTACTCCATTAGATTACTTGAAGGGAACAAGACATCTATAAATAGCATCTAAAATAACATGCATCCCTGAACTAGCAGTTCTTTTGGGAAAATGGGTTCCCAAACAGTTTCCCAGATTCCTATTATTGATTTCTCCGATAAAAACTTAAAACCTGGTACAGAAACCTGGTTTTCAGCTGGCCAAGTGTTGCGAAGGGTCCTAGAGAGTGATGGATGCTTCTATGCAATGAGCAACAAGGTTTCTATGGAGCTTTGCAACTCAGTCTTTGTTTTAATGGATGAGTTATTTGATCTTCCATTGGAAACAAAAAAGCAAAAAACCAGTGATAAGCCTTTTCATGGATACTATGAACGACATCCCAAAGTCCCTTTATATGAATCCATTGGAATTGACGAGCCCTCCAAAAAGGAAGCAGTTCAAAAGTTCACCAACATCATGTGGCCAGCAGGATATGATCACTTCTGGTATTACAATTTTAAACCTAATTTTTTTTGTGTTTTCCAGTTTACCTTCTTAGTCATATTATTGAAAAATTTTATTGATGTGAAGGATCTGATAAATTTTTATACGCAAAAAGTACCAGCATTTTGAAATTTTTGCACACATATAGTAGTATATCGGTACTCTAATTTGAGTTATTCTCACCAATAAAAATTTTAGTAGGAGAATTTTCCCTATTTTCTTTGTTGTATCATTAATAATTTTCTTGATTATATTGTTTGAGTGTAGTGAGACACTCAGTCTCTATGCAAAGTTGCTGGTAGAAATGGACCAAACTGCCAAGAGAATATTGTTTGATGCTTACGGGTTGGACAAAACACATTGTGATTCCTTTCTTGAATCAACCAACTACATGCTTCGCAGCTTTAAATACCAACTACCTAAGAAGACACACAGTAATTTAGGCCTGCCTGCTCACACCGACACTTCATATTTCACCATATTACATCAGAATAAAGTTGCAGGCTTGCAAATTAAACTCAAGAATGGTGAATGGATCGATGCTGATCCCTCACCTAACATGTTTCTATTCTTGGCTGCTGATGCATTAAAGGTGGGCAATATATTTGGGGAAAAAATCACTATTAGATTCCGAGGAAGAAATGTAATCACCGAAGAAATCTTAATAACAAGTGAACAGCTTGAATCGGTTGTTGTTTCCTGCATCAAAACTTGTCATTACATGTTTTGCTCGCTTGTTGTGAAACTTTTTGGTGATTACGTTCCTTCCCTGGGACCTCGTAATGAAGTTTCTTTAATTAATCAAACAATTCTTTTTTAAATCAATATATTTTAGGTCTGGAGTAATGACAGGATAAAGGCTTGTGAACACCAAGTTATCATACAGGAAGAGAAAGAAAGGTGCTCGATGGGATTATTTTCATTTGGCAGTAAGATGGTGGAGACACAAGAAGAGTTAGTTGATGAAGAGCATCCAATACGATACAAACCATTTGACCATTATGATTATATACGCTTCCACTTAACATCAAAAGCTGAGTGTCGCATCAAGGCATTCTGTGGCATTGACTATTGAATAAAAATGAAACTCGTTTTGAGTTTCCACTTCCCCTATGCATAGTGATCTGTAGTTTTCTCTCCTTTTGTTTTATCTAAATTTACTGAAGTCTACTACTACTTTGCAAAGTTGAAGAAGATTCTCCAATTAGAGTGACTTCATAAATTTCTTTGGACATCATATTTGCATCTCATTGGTTGTTTTGACAAAAAATTGTGAATAAATCAAAGCTTTTTTTTTTTAATGTTTTAGATTTGGAGTAGTGACAGAATAACATGTTGTCGACATAAAGTAGTCATCATGAAGGACGAGAGCGAGAGGCATTTGACAGGAAGGTATAGTTCAAACTTAAGAAGAGCTAGTTGATGAAGACCATCTATCCAACACGATATAGGACATTTGACCATTATGAATACTTAGACATGAAAAAGAAAACAAATTTGAAGAAAATAAATATCAGAATTATTATTATTATTAGTATAAGCACACTTAAATAAGGGTTGATTAGTATTAAACTATTTGCACTCTAAGTGCACGGGTCGTGACAAGTAATACAATTATGAGAAAAAATCGTTCTCATGGAGATTTGTGTAAAAATCAAGACCAAACAAAAGACTGGGTGAATTTACTTAAGTTGAGCCAAACAAATCTTTGATGGGTAAAGTGAATTTTGAAAACTAATTTTAAACTAGAAAGTAATGAAAATACTTTATTCTTAAATTTCAAGGGAATGATAAAGGGACCTAGGATTATTTATCCCCTTGCATTTCACAACCATTAATTTATCTCCTCTCATAGATATTCTTAATGAAAATATGTGATAGTCTAGGATTCAAAAAGTACTTGTAAAAGCTTTCTCAAGTCAAGAACAAGTCTTTAGTTTCATTAATTAGTCAATCTCTTATTTTAATTAATAAAACCTAAATCTAAGTTCCAATCCTAAAGTGACTGTGTAAGGTTAATAAGTATATCTCTATCTTATCAACAAAATCATCCATTCCACAAGCACACTTCACATTCTTACTCAGTTTTACCTAAGTTCTATATTCAAGCTAGCCCTCTCAAGCATTAATCAAGTGAACAAATCAACTAAATAGTGATGAAGCATTTAGAAGCATTAAGAAAAGAGTAAAATAA